CATGCTTGCTACTCAGGGGACATCTGTCTTGTGCAGCTACTCAACTTCACCCACATTCTGAGGCCTGGGGGGCATGATCATCAACGCAGGGGAAACTGAGACTGCAGGCAGGGAAGTGGTGGTACAGGTAAGGAAACTGGGAGACGAGATGGCTGCTCCCAGCCACCCAGCCACACAGCGCCCACCAAATTCACGTTCAGGGCCCTCAGCACCACTCACGGAGGCTTCGGAACCACAACCTGTGCTCAGGGCTCCAAAACATGTGCCTGTGTCCTGGCCTGGCTTCCCCCAGGTCCCTGGGCATACAGATGCAAGACCCATAGGCCCAGAATCACAGGCGGGGCTCACGGTACACAGCCTCAGGACAGCCAGGTCAGCACCAATGCTCCTCACTCTAGGCCCAAAAGATCCAGGCGGGCAAAGCCTGAGCCTAGGAGAGTTCATCCAGGGCAAGGCCTGAGCTTCTGCGGACTGTGCAAGGGAACAGCGCTGCTCTCTGATCGGGTGCACACAGCCCCGTACCCTGGCCCTGGACTCAGCACTCACAGGGACACTTGAGAGCAGATCCACTGCCCTCCTCTCCAGCAGGGTCCTAGCCACACAGGAGCCAGTGTGGTGTCGGGCAGAACAGCAGCCCGGTCCACTCTGAGACTGTCCCAGCTGGTCGGAGAGCAGGTGCCACCGTCAAGAAGGTTGGGGAAGCTTAGCAAAAAACGTGTGTCTCAAAATAAAAATAAAGAGGGCTGGGGATATGTTCAGTGTGAAGGCTATGGGCTCAAACCCCAGTACCACAGACACAAAAAGCGTTCTATAACCGAGCAAGCAGACAGGTCAAAGCAACATGACATCATCCCAGCTCTACCATGAGGAAACTGAGGCACACATTCCACAGCTAGTAAGCAAGACATAAGACAGGCCCACACAGCATGATCCAAGCATGATTATGTCCATGAAGTCATAAAACTTCAAATCAGGGAAGGTGACCTTATTTGGAAACATAGTCTTTGGCAATGTAATTAAGTTAGAGACCTTGGGAAGATGACAGTCTACACTGACACTAGGCCCTAAAGTCAATCCCCAGTGTCATAAAAAGGAAATAAAATAGACAAAGCCAAGTACTAGCCTAAACCTGTAATCTCAGCACTCTGGGAGGCTGAGCCAGGAGTATTGTAAACTGGAGCACAACCTGAGCAATGCAGGGATTTGGTGAGATCCTGTATGAAAAAATAATAAGCAAGCAGGGCGTGGCGGTGCAAGCCTATAATCCCAGTACTTGTCTCAAAATAACGAGGGCTGGTAAATTACCTCAGTGTAAAGCACATGGGCTCAATCCCTGTACAGTACTAAAGAAAAAATGACAGACACACAAGAACACAAAAAGGGTGCCATGAAGACAAAAGCAGAAACTGTAATGTTGCTGCCACAAGCCAAGTAGCACCTGGAGCCACTGGACACTGCACAAGGCCAGGGAGGCGCCCTCTAGGTCCTTAGGAGACAGCGGGACCTACCCACAGCTTGATTTCTGAGCTAAGAGAACACGGTTCAGCTCTATTAAGCCATGAAGGCTGCGGACAGTGCATTCCAGCAGTCACGGGCACTTAATACACCTGCTCCCAGTGCCCAGGTCCTAACTCATGTCAATTCTATCTAAGCGAAATGCAGGAGAAAACAGCTCCTACCCCAGGGGTATATCATCCAGGATTGAGGGTTTCTGTTTGAGAGATGCAGACGTACTCCTACTATTCTTTCATTTCTGAACTATCACAGAAGAGCTGTGTGTACAACCTTTAACACTCATGATCACCATTCTCTTGCTTTATAGTCTGAGGTGCTGGGGGCTAGTGGGCAGCACTCACCCATGCTGAGCCCCCATCTCACTTTCATGATCACCAACGAAACAGAAAGCAAAATTCCCCCGCTATAAGCCACTAAGAATCACAGAAAGAAGAGGTTGAGTATTTGGAGACTGGACTGGGTTTCAAACACTTCTAGAAATTTTAAAATGCTCTTAAAACATTTTCTTAAAAGCTTAAGAGGAAACCCAACTTTCGTAGAATTCTACTTAAGGGAAAAGCTTAAGAAATGCTCCCGATGTTAGTTCAAAGCATGGGCTTGCTTAGGTTATGAGGTCCTGAGCTCCCCAAATCACAGGCAATTCCCGGTAGGAAGAGACACCCTACTTCCTTCTCTTTATTTGGCCGGAGCCCAACTCTGCCCCAGTCTCCAAAGCTGTCACATCTCGGGGGCATAAGCACTCCTCTACCCTGTATTTTCAAAGTGAAGGCGTGGGGAGAACCCCGTGTGAAGCAACTGTTCCCCATGCTTACCTGGGGAACACCCGCTACCCGAAGTGGCAAAAATTCCCACGAGGCCAAAGCCGGTAAAGGCCTCCTCCACGACTCCCCAGAGCGTCTCTACAGGAAACCCCAGGAGACAAAACCGAGTGAAACAGAATAGCAAAATGTGAACAAGGAATCAGAGAAGAGACCAGCGGAGAGTAACAAGAGAAAGAAAAAGGATGAGCTACGAACACGAGGGCCTGAGAGAGGGAGGAGGGATGGAACTTGGCAAACACATTTGAGATTTTTTTCCCTCTCCCCACCGAAATGTCAGTTTGAAAGCAGTTTCGGAGAACGTAATCAGCTTCTCACATCCCCAAAAAGGACACGAGAGTCTCGTGGCGGGGCCGGAGGTAGTGCTACCTCCCACTTCTGCACCGGCCATCTGGAAGCCAGGACCCCTCAGGCTCCTTGCGCTACCCTCGCGGGTACCCCTGTGCCCAACTCTCCAAGTTTCTCACTGGGAGGGGGTCCCCCGAGGGCCTCAAGCTGGAAGCCAATTTCCAACTATCTGGGAGTGGAGGCACCTTACATGGACAGAGGCTCCCGGCCCGGGCGGCCACGCCCGCTCCTCGGTGTCCCCTCGCCCGGCTCCCTCCTCACCCCATTATCCGCTGGGTCCCTCACTTCCTGTCCCCGGCCCCCTCCCCAACCTCAGGCCCGCACTGCCCGGCACGAGCGCCCCTCCGCCCACCGCGCGAGCCCGCGCTTCCCTGTGTCCCCGGGACCCGACGCTTGGCACCCCGCACCCGGCCCGGTCCGCCCCTCCCCCGCCGCCGG